TATATATATATATATATATATATATATATATATATATATATATATATATATATATACATATATATATACATATATACATATATATGTATATATATATGTATATAACATCTGGGGCATATGACATATAACACACATATATATATATATATATATATATATATATATATATATATATATATATATATATATATATGCCATGTATCAGATCCATGCACCTTTGTGCATGACTCTTTGGCTCCCAATGATCCCATGGTCGAGCATCGGGGCTTTAGTATTTAAAACATGAGAGCACGCATGTTCAAAGCTACCATAAGGCAACCATGGGTTGGTCACGTCAGTACACATTTCTGACCTCATCGCGATCTGCAATCTACGTTCATCGGGTTCTCACCATCTGCAAAGAATCCGAAGCAATGATGGCAAATCCTCTGAGTGCTATTGGCTTTGAAAGAGTTCACTAAAGCAGCGTGAAATCAATACTGCTGTTGACCGATTCCGGGCAGTCATTTAACATCCTCTTCTTTCAGTTTGTTGACTTCATAACACGACAGAATAGCATCTTCCGGTAGCTTTTGGCTTTTTCCAGGCGAAAACATGTAAAAATAAAAGCCGACGAAGGAAAGCGCCCCCCCCCCCCCCCCCAAGTCAAGTGGGCCATATCCAATGATTTCTTTTCGGGGATCTTTCATCATCGGGACCCTTTGTCAACCTTATGCCCCCCCCCCCCCCGCTTCCATCTTACCAAGGCTCTGGCTGCGCGCCTGACTGGTAAGTTGTATCGTCTTAACGCTTCCTAAAGCCTCACTACGCATGCTCCTTGGGATTAACGCACGCGGTTATCATTCCGGCTCCCGAACATCAGTAAGCCATAGGGAAGACAGAGTGGCTCGTCTGGAGCGTGAAGAGGGTGTTTAATTGCCCCTTGGACTTTTCCCGCTACCTGCCGAATGGGTGAAGAAAGTGATCTATAGTATTCGATAACTGTCAACAAAACTTCCATGCACCTGGTATCGGACATCATAGTTCGATTTAATCTTCAAGTTCAACTACGGCATATAATTTTTTCTGACGCCGTAATGCTTTCAACCCATATAATGTTTAAGTGACGTATGCAGATATGAACTTACGAAAGCGACATGCTTTAACTAAATGAAATATTCCAAAAACAGCAGAGAAGGTGTTCGTAACATTTTTAGCAACGAACTTAAAGCTGTGAAGACATTGGCTTACCTTTTTGAAAAAGCATCATCACCGTACGACTATTTTCACTAATTAGACACATGGTTCTTCGCGCCTTTAACTAATACTCGCTAAGAGCTCTATTTTGTATCATGTAGCCATAGAGGTTTCGTTAGAAGGTGTATTCACTCTAGACACTGTCAAAATAATGTCAGGATTTGGCAGTTTATGCGAAAATCGGTTATCGAACTTCCTTGTTGTATGTACACGTACATTCCTGCGTGCATCGCATTTCTTTTACATTGCAGTTTTGCATCGCTATCTCGCGGTAGATCCACCTGCGCTTCAGTTTGTGCTGGTTTTGCAAAAATAACATCACACGATAAAATGCTGAAAGTGGCTCTTATCTCAGAACTTTTTTCATGTTAACGCATAGCAATTTCAAATCTGGAAGTATAGCTCGTCTGTAAGTGGCACGTCGTTGCAGGTCTATGTCCGTGAGACGTCAGTTCAATTCGTAGGTCGTCCCAGGGCACGGCTCACATTTGAATTGTCGTGATCTGTTCGTAGGTCGTCCTAGGGCACGGCTCACATTTGAATTGTCGTGATCTGTTCGTAGGTCGTCCTAGGGCACGGCTCACATTTGAATTGTCGTGATCCGTTCGTAGGTCGCCCCAGGGCACGGCTCACATTTGAATTGTCGTGATCTGTTCGTAGGTCGTCCTAGGGCACGGCTCACATTTGAATTGTCGTGATCTGTTCGTAGGTCGTCCCAGGGCACGGCTCACATTTGAATTGTCGTGATCTGTTCGTAGGTCGTCCTAGGGCACGGCTCACATTTGAATTGTCGTGATCTGTTCGTAGGTCGTCCTAGGGCACGGCTCACATTTGAATTGTCGTGATCCGTTCGTAGGTCGCCCCAGGGCACGGCTCACATTTGAATTGTCGTGATCTGTTCGTAGGTCGTCCTAGGGCACGGCTCACATTTGAATTGTCGTGATCTGTTCGTAGGTCGTCCTAGGGCACGGCTCACATTTGAATTGTCGTGATCTGTTCGTAGGTCGTCCTAGGGCACGGCTCACATTTGAATTGTCGTGATCTGTTCGTAGGTCGTCCTAGGGCACGGCTCACATTTGAATTGTCGTGATCTGTTCGTAGGTCGTCCCAGGGCACGGCTCACATTTGAATTGTCGTGATCTGTTCGTAGGTCGTCCTAGGGCACGGCTCACATTTGAACTGTCGTGATCTGTTCGTAGGTCGTCCTAGGGCACGGCTCACATTTGAATTGTCGTGATCTGTTCGTAGGTCGTCCCAGGGCACGGCTCACATTTGAATTGTCGTGATCTGTTCGTAGGTCGTCCTAGGGCACGGCTCACATTTGAATTGTCGTGATCTGTTCGTAGGTCGTCCTAGGGCACGGCTCACATTTGAATTGTCGTGATCTGTTCGTAGGTCGTCCTAGGGCACGGCTCACATTTGAATTGTCGTGATCTGTTCGTAGGTCGTCCTAGGGCACGGCTCACATTTGAATTGTCGTGATCTGTTCGTAGGTCGTCCCAGGGCACGGCTCACATTTGAATTGTGATCTCTTGATTGGTCCCGGAAATATTCGGTGGAAGTTTGAATTGTGATCTCTTGATTGGTCCCGGAAATATTCGGTGGAAGTGTTAAACACCGCTCCCCGTACATATAAAGTAGTGAACGCCATAAAAATGCCAGGTCAAGTCCCACCCTCAGGTACGTCCCCAACGGGTGGGAACAGGAGATAACGTCCCCACAGTGATCGCTCACCTATCTAAAAATATTGCAACATCAAATGTTTTCGTTACCTTAAGCCTGTGGCTTTCATAGTAACACAGACATAGAATTTAGCTGTCTTCCAAACACCAATCATGGGTCCGTAATGCTGCCAGTAGCTTAGAAAGCGTAAACATATAAACATAGGCTACATCAAAAACGTAAATTCGATCGTGATCGTGTAATGTTGTGATCATTTGCGTAGTTCATCCGCCGTATCATCTGATTGTGTATCTTCATCCCTAGTTTCTTTTGTAGTACACTTCTGTATTTGCTTTCATCCTCTTTTCATCCTTGTTGTCAGTGCTGCTGTCACTGCGTCATTACGGGATGCCGGCACAGTGAGAGGTAGGGCATCTTCAATTGTCGCGCCCCGCTACGGGTTGTGGTGCCTGAGCCTCCGCCACAGGTATATCAGGTCAGCCCACTCCCCTCCCGTGCTGCCATCTGCTCCTGATAATTACGCAACGCAGGCGTCGATAAATAACCTCATTATATAAGCCCGTATTGAACTAGAGCCAAGGACCTGGCAGATGTCCGTTTGTCGTTCACAACAGGGTGAATGGTGTTCCATAATTCATGGAGTGGGTCATCGGTACTCGGTCTTCACCGCTGTCGCCGGGCCCAACGGGCGCAAGATAGCCCTGAGCACTGCCGACGCAGGACTGATTCCTCACGCACCAGAACAGCGCTAGAGCCCGGTCGCTGCACTCCGGAGAGAATGGGCTGTCTTAGCTCTCCGTCTTGATATCACAGCGTTCAAAGACCAAGTATAAAGTCCGTGCGCATGGTAATGGTCATGCTCGCGTCACCGCAAAGTGAGCGTGGCCATACGAAAGGGGAGGAGGGAAGCGTTTCTTGGTAATCTTTGCGACACTCAAACGATAAATAAAGATATTATCAACTCCCACTTCCTGGAGGAAGACTACGACATATTACCTGGTTCCCACCAAGTGCAAACGCTTCAACACGCGTCGGCGTGAGTCATGCTCCATGTGCCGTATAAAAAGAATGAAACTGTACTGCCTGCAGTAAGTCGCGGGCGATCGCCAAACCGGCTGGCTTCACCGACGGCCTGCCGGACGCCGGCCGGCAACGCAGCTGACCGGCTGCTTCCCTTTAGCCTTAATTGGCGGTTGCCCAGACAATAGTGACCACCTCGTTCAACAAAAGCACCTGGAGGGCCATTATCATTCCAGCTGCCTCTGGCTTTGGAGGGGCTTTGGTGACGTCAATGCTCCATCATGACAGCTACGTACTGCCCGCAATGGAAACGCGTGGGAAAGTGGCGAGCTATGTGTAACCGCCGCCACTTGAAGTTTGCGCCACATCCGTGCTTAGGTCGTGTTTGCCATCCCATACGAGCATGTCCGCGATTAAAAATAGAGCAGCGATTGGCTGGGGCTGAACACCGGCTGAGCCTGGCGGCCGGTAGAAGGCCGGACGACACAATTCCGACGAAACGACCGGGAGCAGACCTACCGCCCAAACGACAGCCAGCCGCCCGAGAAAAGACTGGCCGACTGAGGGAAAACTTACTGACGAAGAGAGGACCGACCAACTAAGAGAAGACCGATCGATCGGCAGAAAATCTACTGACCGAAACATGACCAGCCAGTCAAAGAAAGGGCGACCACATCACATCTACGAGTGCGAAAAGTCGATTACGGCGGCCGACCAAGGCTGCAGGAACGTTTTGCAGTTTTGATCAACCTTCCACTTTATGTCCGAGCAAATATTTGTCGTTGACTTGCGGTGGGAGGCCAGTCCTCCGGGAGCCTGTTACAGCCAATGCCGGGCCGGACCTCTACCCTTCCCTCACAATGCAACGCGCCCGCCCGCCGGCTTATTGCCGAACGGCAATTACACCTGATCGTCGTATCGAGCAGCTGCCGGACAATATCTGTGGCCGAGCTCGCTTGTGATATTGGGTCGGCTTTGATTGGGGGGTTGACGACCGGGCATGCCGTTACTGTCTCGGAGGCGGCCGGCGGCGGTGGCGGCGGCGGCGGTGGCGGCGGAGACGGAGCAGACATGAGCGAAGGCGAGTCGCGCCGGCCAGCATGGGCCTGAGACAGCCGCGGGTGCAGCACGCCCGCGCCAACCAGCGCGGCTCCGTACCCTCGCTGGCCGACAGCGAGGACGGCAAGCTGGTCGAGTTCAACGGCGGTGTGTTCAAGGTGAGCGCCGGCCGCCTGGCCGAGAGAGACGCGCCGGCACCGGGAACGGCCGCCTGGCCGGACCTCACCCGACGGCCGAGACGACTTATGATAAGGAGCTTGTGAAGGTTACCCTGGGTTTACTTAGAATCCAGGTGATCAGACAATGTTTTCTCCTGATAGCATAGAGCGGTCGTCATCGATGATATTTTGGGGAGGGGAGGGAAGCAGGATAAAGAGGTGAGTGTTTTGTAATCGTCACGGCGTGACCTGTAGCAGTATGACGCGAATAGGCCGCTGCGCAGACGACCGCCGGCGCTGGCTGCAACTTAACGAACATCGGTGTAGTTTTATCACGCGACCAATGCAGCCTTATTGTTGGACGTTAAGCTGTTTAGAGCCGTAACTGTGTGCTTCTTCAGGAAATCATCTCTGTGTATTAGGCAGACGCATGCGAGGTGGCAGACGTTATAGCATCCCTGTCATTAATTATGCTGCAGGATCGAAAGCAGATAGGTGCATAGCGTAGTGTATGTTAGGCTTGTGTGTTAACGAAATCACACACGCAACACTGCCTGATCGGACGTCATCCTAACGTGCACGCCGTCCTAACGTTCAGCTCAGTTCGCTGCATAGTGTTCACGAATTATTCCAACAAGCGGCTTATTATTTGATTCGATACAATTACAATAGAAGGCAAAATTAAAACAAGACGACAACGCGACCACATTGCTCGGCGTGGTATGGCGTGGAGCAGTGATCAGCATCACTGATGGTGTGTAAATCATATATTTGAGCCTGCTCGAGTATCGATTTCCAAATTAATCTTCCTCACACGACACCACAGCAGAAAATTAGCTTTCGGGAAGCTGCCTGCTTTAGGCATAAACTGGTCGGACGGGTAACCATTTGCCTCTCATTTAACGCAGCCAACTTGATCTGCTGTTGTATATCGGCAGCGGCGTAAGTCAGAACATTGCCGAGGGGGAGCACAGGGTTGACAAAAGTCTCCCGGGTGGTGATCCACCTCCCCCCCCCCTCCTCTAAAAAAGCGCCGGATATAGCTCACGTTTTACCAACCCATGCTAAAGGGATGCAAGGTTTGCAAAGACACCCGATTGTGAAAGGCCCCCACAAAAAAACGCCGGATAAAGCTCACTTGTTCACAAGGGGCACTGTTCTTCTTTTTATTGTTACTTTTACGTTGCAACCAAAATAGAAACAGAAGCCAGCAGGTACCGCGACATCAATTCTGTTTGTATTTTGGAGTCAATAAACTGCAGAAATCAGGCGTTAAACGACTGCATGAAGTAAATCACTGGCGCTCATCGTTTTACAATGGCTCAGTGAACACTTTCTAAACCGATGGAACCAGGAACTCTGCCGGATTTCAGTCTGTGTTCTTCAGGGGCATCGAGATTGTGAACGTAGATTATGAATCGTAAATTGTGGATCGAAATGGGCCCAAAATATGTATTGGCATGATTAACCTGCGTTCATCTCTAAAAATGTTCAACATTCAACCAGAACTGATTGCTGGGAAAAAAATGTAATAAGATTTTGAGCATGCGCGCTTATAAATCCTGGCACAGCCTTGACGTCCGGCGTTGCAGTCTCCACAGGCCGAGTGACGCTGGCTTCGCAGCTGACACTCAACGGTGGTTAGCGAGCAGACAAAAAAGGTGACGCATCTGAAGGAAGCACTTTTCAACGGTTCATAAACTTAATTTGTACGTTTAGAAAATAACCCGGGGGTATAATTCATCTGTACTATTTTTTAGATTGATAATAAGGACGGATGAGTCATTTTAACACCGCGTGAAGTGATGTTGGGATCTCGTGGTGGACCTGGAGGATTAAAAGTAGGAATGCTATTCATCGTGTCGCTGTATCTGCTAATTTGGCTAGAGAACATCCCCAAAATTGTCAAAAACATGCATCTAGGTGTAATCTTTCAATGGTTCAAATATATTTTTCAACACTTCCAGAAGCATTATTTTACGGTGGTCGTTCTCGCGCACACGCCGCCCACCGTCAGGCGTTACCTGCAGCGGCCAACGACGTTCGGTTTTACCAAACTGCATGCCAGGCCATCGCTGTCTTTACTCCTGAGATTGCAAGTGTAGGATATCAAATTACTTTGTAACATTGGTTTCATTTGTCGATTTTGCAAAACAATGAACGGTCTCAGGCGGACCTGGGTTAGCCGTTTTCATTTTTATCTCATTTCGATCCGCTCCATTCAGCACTCCTGAGACCTCCAACGTTTTCTGGGCAAAGCACCCGTGAGCAGAGCACCAGGGGGCACATCATCATTACCCGTCCAGACTGAAGGGCCGTTCCGTCCCAGCGCGGGCTGCATCCCTGTTGCCATTCTGGTGGCACGCAGCGGGGTCGCTTGATCGATCCGGAAGCTCTTAAAGGGATGCATCATACTTTTTGGCCACCATTTGAAACATCATGAACATGTGCTGTAAGCACCCATTTAAGAGGTCCGAGGCTGTACAGAAAGACGGAACGGAGCCTTCGGCACCAGATGAACTTCGTGTTTGCCCATAATTTTATCCGTTCGTTTGTCGCCATACATGACAGGATAGTATATTGCAATTGTCCAGTCTTATCCACATGAAGCAGCTTTCCACTCAAGCAAATGCCCGGTGCGGTTTAGCGAGGATGGCTGATGAACTAGGTAATCGGAATGCTGTTGAAGGTAGCATAAAAGTAAGCCAAACGCAACTTAAATCTGAAAAGCGGAGAGTTCACATTGCTCGCCCCCTGACTTGAAAAGTAGCGGGCATTGCCCTCCCCCCCCCCCCCCTCTTCCTGTACCAATGGTTGCCACCAACTGTCATATCAATATAGCACTGGCAGCAATATATACCAGCTGTCTCTCTCCCATCCCACCTCACGGGGATGGCTATTCTAAAACGAGCGGCTCTAAGAACAAGTTATTGCGGTTTTGTTATCGCACAAAAACGATATGTAGGTGCCCATTAGCAGCAGTGTTGAAATTCTGGGCTGAAAATGCGTTTATTTGCCTAGATGTACTAGGAGGTCTTCAGAACTTGAGGTCAAGGTTGGGAGTGTGGAGGGGATCCGCCGACGCAGCTTCAGCAGAAACAAGGCTGAAATGCATAATGATTTTAAACAATGAGTTTAGGTTCCTCTTGGCCGCGTCCGACCTGTCGTCAGCACGTTTTTCAGCACTAATCACGGCCCAGTATTCGCCCTACGTCATGTCACGTGACCACAAAGTCACGTGGCCTGTGACGTCCCTCGCTAGCTGACGACGATGCCAGAATTTTTGGTCGCGTTCGATCTATCGTCAGCACGATTTTCAGCTGGAATGCGTGACGTCACGCGTGCTGACGGAGCGTTCGATGTGGGCTGACAGGAAAATTTTGTAGCTTTATTTTCCCTTCTTCTTTTTCTTTTTACATCAGTCCTCACACTACCTCTCGCTAACCGCCGACCATGACACTACGTACAAAGTGGTGTTTGGAAGTGTGGCTTCTATTCCGGTATTATCATCCTCTATCCGATCCGTATGTTGAGTGTTTCTTCCCATTTCCAAGTCATTTCAATGGGCCATGTTAAAACTTTCCGAGAATTTCCCCGACAGGTGGCAGGTCAAACGTTGAAGTCCATCGGTCGGTGGCGCAGTTGTGACAAACTTTGGTTACATGGTAGTTTTGGTATGTATCGCCCTGGTAATTTTTCACGATCCGCTACTGGATTGCGAGTTACTATTGCTATCTGGTCTAGTGATAGCCTCTCATTTTTGCATTTCTGCATCCAGGATTGGAATCCGTGGAGGACTGCTAATTGTTTGTACGGTCAGCAAGTAAAAGAACTATCATAAAGTGCTGCGTCCCGTTCTGCTCTGAGCCTGGTGGTCACAAGTTTCCTGCTGACAAAAAAACTGTGACAGGCATGGATAAATGCGATGAAGAGGGAAGCTCCCATGACAGGGAGACCCTGGATTCCGAACAAATATTAGGTGGTTTGCAGGCACCATTTTAATCCAAACACCGACTGTGTTATGTTATGTTACTGACTGACTTTATTATGTGACTTTGTGATTTTGGCCGGCTAACTGACTTTGTGACTGACTTCGTTATGTTGTTACTGAGTGCGAAATTTAGGTCCGTTTTAATCCCAGGGAGCAGCCGGCATTCTACTCCCACTACAAAAAAGCCAATACCTACAACGTTCTGCAAGGCATTTCATACAGTAGAGCTGTGACATTTTGTTCGGACGCATACACAGACTCAACAATCGACAGGGAGATTTTTGAGAGATGTGACATTATCGACAAATTGCATGCAGGTGACACTGTTTTGGGAGATGGGGGGGGGTTAATGTGCAGGATATTCTGGTTCTTAGAGATGTAAAACTGGTCAAACCTGCATACATGAAGCATCGTGCACAGCTACCAAGTCATTCTGTGTTAGTGTCAGGGAACGTCACCATAAAGCGCATCCATGTGGAGCGGTTGATTGAACTCACAAAGAACTTCCAAATTCTGCATGGCACACTACACAGGCGCCGAGTCCCATTTGCGTCTCAACATATTTATGTGTGCATTTATGTACAATTTGAAGCGCCGGATAGTGTAGCATGGGCGTCTTGTTATCTGTTCCTTCGCGCCTTCCCCGTTCCGGATCACACACACGACGTTCCACAGTTGGCGTCTGTATTTGAACTGTCCCACCGGAATCCAACGGAATCGCGCCCAGGGTTCACGGTGGCGCACAAGGCACAATAGCGATGTGGGGGAACTGGCTCCTAAATTGGGGACGCTATACATTTAACATGGGACATCACATGGCATCTTCCCCCTTAACAAAGGTAGTCAGCGAGGCGTGCCGGTTGATGCGCTGCGAACGTCGGGGAAAGCCCGGACGGTCGCCAGGATCTGCCAGAGCTGCGTTGGGACCGGGCGACAAATCTGGTCCGAGTGACGTCACGATGGTGTCGTCGCGGTTGGGAGATCCCGAAGGACCCAGCGGCGTGGCGCC